GTTACTATGGCAATGTCGCACATTGCGGACAAGGTCACATTTCATGTGTACATATATTCACATGTTTTGGGATTGATTGTTGTACTCTCGGAGGAACAAACTCTCCCATCATCCAGCTTCGGTCTTCTCTCATTTCGTCATAGGTTGCTGCCGGTGGCTGTTGCGTACGAAGTTAGCTATCAGTTAAGTGTAGCATTTTATTTCACTGTATTGTGTTGATATATGCAACAACTCACTGGACATTTTTTGTTTAGTTGTACTTATAAAGACGTTTTGCTCGCTCGTTGACCAATACAACATCCTAACATATACTTCTCGTTAACTCCTGTTATTTACACTGTCTGACGCAGGTGGATCAGTAGCGTCGGAAATTATAAATAGGAGATAGCGTATGTGGACACGTATATAGATTTGGAGTCAGATTTCAGAACTCAACAATATAACAGTGGGCCTCAGAAGGTAGGAGTAAATCACAACCTTAAAGAATTCTATTTCATATATCCAATCTAGATGTAATGAGCATCAGCATCCAGAGGTGACTAGTTGGGCGATATCGAAATACTTCTAGGGAGCCTAAGGTTGACTGGAGATTCAACATTTGATAGTCTTAGTAGACGATAATGGGCAAGGTCTTCGAAAAAGAAACATCACCTCCTCATTGCTGCAGACATACGTTACTGATGACTGTCAACAAGCAAGGAGCGTACATCTCACATTTCCTACCGACTACATCCAAACACTTAAAGTGCAGTTATCGCATAAGTATGTTCAAATTCTGCTTCTCTCACATGAATAATAATTGCTTTATAACGGTACATTGTGACAGAAGTAACTCCATCGGCATGCTCAAAATCTGCGGTGAACTGCGCCAATTAAGTGCATTATGATTATTAGGGAGGTTGTGCACAAATCCGAATGCCATTCGCTGAAGCAACCTAAAATAGGTGCTCCTGGATTGAGCAATTCTCCTTCTGCGCAACTGGCAAACGCAGAGGACAATCATTGTGCTTGTAATATGCACACGAATGCAAGACCAAGGAAGAACATAATAGCGCAGACAGATGGGAATAGCATATTTGAGAGGTCGTGCCAAAATACTAATGCGTTTCAACTAGCTGACTAGAGGATTGATTAAAAGCGGTGCAACGTAGCACGACAACGTGCCAAATCACATGGATGCTTGACCATGTGCCTTCAGCTTAGCGAGTCCGATAAAACTATGAAGGTCAGCGTCAATGTTGGATCTCGTCAAACCCTAAGCTATTGATTTTAAGAAGTTACGTGCCGCTACACGTGTTTCAAAATCGCAACACAACCACTGTCCGGAATGCTAGTTTGGTTAGTGAAGCTTGTTGGCCAATTTAACGGAGGGTGCAAACATGGAAAGCTTCAACCTGTAGTTCGGAACGTCGTTTCAGGAGACCAGTGATGCTGTTCTGTGACCCCAGTTCGTTGTCAGGAGGTGTAGAGCTGGGACAAATCAAAGATGTGGGATTATTGATCGAGAAATGTAAAGGAAGACAATAAATTAAGGATGTAGAAGGTGGACAGTGACCTGAGAGAACTTGACTGCTGACAGACTTGTGGGGGTGGTTGACACTTCCCGGCTGCCAACACCTTGTAAGGCTATTTCTTCTTCGGGTACTTGAAAAAGAGGTTAGTACGTGACCGCAGAGCCTAAGAGACACCTGCCTGAGGCCGGTCACACACCGCTATTTTAGAAGTTTGAGATGTTACTTTGTTACTTGCGAATCCACCCACATCGTCGGCACCGGTATGCCGTAGGGTAGAGGAGACTGTGCTATTTTCAAGTTCGACCTTTCCTAATCCCACTTTCCATAAGATAGGCTGCATCAGCCCGGTACTACTGGTCACACAAGGGAAACGACTCAGTGCTGCCACACCGCAAACCAGACTGCAGTACGACTACTCTCTCGGATCCCTGTCATAGCGTGGCAATTTGTATTGTAAGAGTAACTGATTTTTGTTTAACCACTACCCAACAGACCTTTCTGTTATGGTAGGACTTAAAAGGAACAACAGCTTGCACACACCTGTCTACTTTGACGAGTTTTTCTATCCACTTGTTCTTTGGACGCTGCTGTGAAGTGTGATAACTTGAAGTGATACACTTCTGTGAAGTTTTACCTTGATTTTGTCAGTCTAGTGACGCACAGGGTTCGACAACTTAACAAAGACATAAGGTAGCTATCCGGAGAACATAGGTTGCAGCCATTTTAAACATCATGAAATGGAACTTATCCACTACTGTTAATCCCTGCAGCATATGAACGTTAGGTTCAAATCCCATTGCCTTTATCAATTTACATGTAGACCTGTGTACATTGCCAGAAGATGTCGATCTATTCCGGTAAGAGCTGCATGGTATTGTCCAGAATAGTTGTGGAAAGTCAGATCAAATGATCCTATTGATTCAGGCAATAGATGTCCAACTACATCTATAGTCAAAGATATTATAGAAATGGGCTTCAAGGTTGATTTGTATGCTTCTTTCGAACCTATTTACAAAACCAATTGGGTATATATACTCAGTTCTATTGGAACTTTACCTATAAAGAAGCTTAGATCTCTTTTGTATTCAGAAACCATTTGTTGTTATATCAAACCTCTGTTGATAATGCCGTTTTAATACCCTTAAGGGTGATTAATACACTTTCTCTTCTCGTTTAACAACTTGATCATACAGTATATAAATTATTTAATAAGCCAACTTATACTTTGTTAAAGTTTACATAAATATATATGACAAGTAAATGTGACCAGACTGTTAGAAATGTATTGGGTTCATATTTGTACATCATACGTTTCAGTCTTGAGTACTAGGGATAGTAGGCGAATTTGGCTTGTGCCAATCCTCGTAGTAGGTTTCTTCATGAAGATCTAGTTTCGCCTCGAATGCTCTCAGCGAGGGAGCTGATACCACTTGTTCGAGTAAGGAGTTCTAGTCGATGACTTTTCTGTGTGCGAAGCGTAAGCTTACGCTAAGCCGATTCAATCGTGGATTTTGAATTTTCTTGTGGTGGCCTCGGAAATGATTGATCCATAAGGGAGAGAAGAAATAATTAATACCAATCGCAAGATTATTGTTAAGGACACGCAATGTAAATATTGGGTTGCCTCTTCTCCTGCAACAGGACGATGGGAAAAGATTTAGTCTCTCTATACGGTTCTTATAGGCTAGGCTTGTAGTCCTGGCACCAAAATACAACTGGGGTCAAAATAAGTAGACTAAGTTGAATTAACTATATAAACTTTTAGCTTCCGCCCGGATGTTTAAGGGTTTTAGGTTTCTTTTTAGCAAGTATGAATCCGATAAGATAGTTAGACAAACCAGCTAGCAGCTTGGTACCAAGTCTTTGGACGCACTCCGGTGTTTTAGCACCTCTTTTGAAGCAAAAAGTGACAGCTTGAATGCAATGTTCAAGATGGTGTCGCACAAACGTGGGGTACGATATCCGAAACGTGTCTTCAAAAAAGCATTTGAATGCGCTGTGAAAAGACTGCAATGCACTGTGCAGGCATGTTCAGGTTGTGGGTGACCATAACTCTCAATTCCTTGAATATCAGTCACTGAGATTTCATCTATTAGATACTGATGGTAGCTGCCATGACCAATATGCATAACTGCACATTTTCTGGGATTAATTTCTAGACACCAAAGCTTGGGTCTCTTGACTAGTTTATTTAGGCCCACTCGTAGTGCAAACCTATCATCACAGGAACAGATAACCTGGTACATTTTCACGTCATTCGTATATAATAACACGGCTGACTTTAATCATACCCAGTAGTCCGTTTATACAGTAATAAAGGGAGAGGTTGTCAGTTAGACACTATCCCAATAACTCTCACTGTGTGCTTAATGCTGTCTACGAATCCTTGAATCCAGACCTGCATCGTGGTGTCAAACACAAAACTTGAGAGCTTTCCATTCACCGAACGTGGGAAACCTTATCGAAAGTCTTGCTAAAGGCAACAAACACAACATCTACTAGCATCTCGTTGTCACCAGCAGCCACGCATTCCTCTCTTGCTATGAGGAGGTTGGTCTAACAAGATCAACCAGCATGGAATCCATGTTGTGGCGATTTGAGAAGGCTATGATTTTCGAAATGGCTGAGGAATCTATTCCTGGTAATCTTCTAGAATATTTTAATAACTGCGCTAGGTGGGCTAATGGGACGATAATTCGACACCAGTTTCCTACCGCCTGTTTCGAAAATTGGGCTGATTATAGCGTCTTTCCGGTCTCTCAGAGGCCGTCTGGCACAGGGGCATACTGAAGAGTCCATCAAGCTGCTTGGCAGTATTGTCCTCCGAGAAGGACAATAGCATTGAGTTCGAACCATCACGAACAGGGG